CTAACTCAGTTAGCTGGATTTGATTGTTGATGATTTGGCGTGATCTCGGATTGTTTGGTTCTTCGAAGCTCATCCCGGAGTTGCTGTCATAGCAACAGCTCTGTAAACTGAAACCTGCTCGGGAGCAGTTTATTTCATGTAAACAGGATTAGATTGCATCTTTTTAAGCGGAATTGATACTTAAAATCTGTCCCAGCCACTGCTACTTTATTACCAGAGTATCCTACTGATCCAGGGACAATAATTTAAAATAATAATCATTTAAAGATAATATAATAATGTTGTGTAGTCTTTAATACTATAGACACAGCCAGTTTTACTCACTGAAAGATTTGTACGTCATAAAATAATTGCTTCATAATTGTATTAAAGTCTTACACACAGATAATGTAGAGTCGTGCATTAATTTGAGTGCTGGCAGATATTATGGGAGTGGCTTGATGGAGCGCAGGAGATGCAGATAACTTGATCTCGACCCTTAAGAAACTTTAATTAATGCGGTCACGTAACAAGTCTGTTGTTCAAAGATAAAATTAAATTTGAAATATTAATTGCTAATTACTACATTGAAATAAAAATGAAAAGCCTGTACAAATATTAGAAATCGTGAATATGAATAATTGGGAATCATGTAAACAATTTAAATAAAATAAAAACAGTGCACATTTCATTTATCTATTATAACATTTATGTAGTTTTGTTCGCTTTCCGGTGTCCTTAAAAAGGTCCAGAAATTTGTCAAGTTTTTCGTCAGGCATCTTTTTTAATTACATGATGTCATTACGTTGCTGTCTTGCCGCCAGCCAATCGCTGCATTGCTGATCGTGGTTTCGACTATCGATACATAGCCCCTTTTAAACCAACCCATGAATGCGCAATTATCTCAGATAACTCAATCCAGCCATACTGATCATCAACAACAGGTGCGTTCGAAGAACCGAATTCGCCAGATCCTGATTAGCGCGATCATATAATCTTGGATGTGACATTTCATCTCGGATGTAATAAGCGATGTACGAAGAACGGGCCTCAGGACAGGCTAAACACAACCTAGAAAGCCTTAAGGCAGTGTGCTACAAATTCACTCACTTCATTGGTGACAATCCATAAGATAAACTACAAACCGTGACACTTCAAACTCATGTAAAACCGCATCTCATGCACGTGCAAAATGATACCTGCCCTCTAAACCATCCCAGTTTCAGTCTCACCCACCCTCACCGTCACCCTATATTTTTACTAGAAACACAACTTTATTAAATACATCACTTTAAAATAAAAACATAAAACCACTTAACTCGCCCCATGGCGACACTGCCCCTCCCGGGGGGGAGGTGGGGGGTTGAAGGAGCTTGTTGCACACCGTTCTGTAATGGGAAATGCGAGCCGCGTGTCGTCAGTTCAACGCTCACAAGGACTTGTGCACATGACAGTCTCAGCCACAGGAAGAGAAGACTGCAATAGAAGCCTGTTCAGAACGGGCACGGTCCAAATGCTGGCACGCTCTGACAGTTCAGCAGTTAAACGATACACACAATAAAGAACGACGGCACTCCTAACTCCCCGTCCCTACTTACTCTCACCATGTCCCCGCTATCTATCTGTCTATCTATCTTTATCGCCGGCGGCCCTAAACGACCGCGAATGACACCCTCCCAACAATATCTGAGTACCGCAGTCCTATTTCGGCTTGTAAATAGACCGACAGCCAGCCTGCATCCATTCTCTTTTGCACTCTTTTTAATCCTTCTCACCCCAGTCTCTGAATACACAGATCACACCTGGTGACAAATCCGGAACTGCCTGGAAAGTTCATGAACTTGCTGGTGCTGATGAACACGCAATATAAAGCTGAGCGCCTCACAGAACTCAAGTCAAATCTAAAAGCCTTTCGACGCCACCAGAGAGACTGAGGAGCAAAACAAGAACACAAAAGCCACTGAAAATGTTGAGCCTGCATGGATTCCAGCCTTCCCTCAGCTCACTCATGGGAACTGAGTGGCCAGTGCGCAGTCTCTGGCCGGAGATCACATCTCTTTACAGACAAGCAGACGTTCTGCTGGAGCTGAAGAGCAGCCTGGAGCAGCTGGAGAAACTTCAGCACATGGTCTTTGAGGAGATCCAGCAGATGCCACCCTAGCAGGAGATCTACCCAATCGCCTGAACAATGGAGAAAGAGGGAAGCGGCTTTGCTTTGACGCTGAACACGAAAGATTTTTCCCCAGAAGAACTGTCAGTCAGACAGGTGCGCAGGAAGCTGCATGTCAGCGGAAAGACCGAGAAGAAGCAGGAGGATGGGAAGGGCTCATACTCTTACAGAACCCAAGAGTTCAGACGGGTGTTTGCTCTGCCTCAAGGAGTGTTTATAAAATAGTGTTTATAAAAATATAGTGCATATTTAAAAATATTTAAAATAAATGAATATTTTATTACAGATGGAAAATCAGCACATTTAGTCAATGCTGATGTCTGATCTTCAGTGTTGGACAGTTGGGTCACTACAAGTCTGAAGCTGTTAGTTTCACTGCATTTATTGTTGCTAATTTTTTTAATAATCCAGTTCTTAAGCAGGGCATTGATGTAAGCTACAACAGTGCGTTCTTGTGGTACATGTCCCCTCTGTCATGTCTGGACTTTTATGTTGAAGTGTTTCCTGTGCCATGTTTGATGTAATTTTCCTCTTGATTAGTCTCCCCAGATGTGTCTTGTTATCTCATTCAGTGAATTCCAAATGGCTTTTTTGCACCCTTGAAGGACACTTCAGGTAGGGGACGCCATTTGTAGAGACGTTCCAAACGAAAGTGAACAACTGAATCCCTTCACGAAGGGCCCTTCTAGAAGTCCGTTAGCGAAGGGTACATACCATGGTCACTTCAAGGAAGTGATTTCCATTTGGGATCATGTGATCTTGGGCTACGAGTTCTCACAAGGCTTTTTGAAGCAAAGATGGCGGGGGATTTTGAGTTCTAAAGAAGTCATTCACTTTAGGAAACAAGTTTCAGGTAAACAAGTCAGGACTGGATTCAATACCTATAAATTTTGTCCTTAAAGTCCGCATGAAATCAAAATTTACAATATTTAATTAGTTTGTGCTGGTTATGTTGGTCTATATAAATTTCCTAAATACATTTTCATATATCTATTTTTCTGAAGTTGTCTGTACTGCTGTTCGTGGAGACTGTTTCCCCATTATTTATTTGTATTATTGTGGTACCATGTGAATCAGGACTGCAGCTGTGGTTTCGCTAATCTTTTTTCTTTTGAAATGTCCACCAACAGGAGTTGGCACAGAATCAGGAGAGGCTACCGCTGCAACATAGCCTTGGTTCATCCTAATGGATGAGGCTATTGGGAGGCGTCCCTCTATTTTCAAGTACCTCTTGGACTTCCTGAAGTTGGAGGCAGAAAAAGAAGATGCAAGAGAGAGAGCAGCAGTAGAGAGGAGTAAGCGATTCCCGTCACAGGGCAGGGACATCCAAGTTGTAAAACCTGATGAGGGTAAACAGCGATGACCAGCCAGTGACCGCACAGATATCATCAATAGAAATCAACATACATTCTAAGGGCCTGAACTGGGCAGAATGGATTAGGACTTGTGCTCTGAACGGAGTGGAGAGCTCTTAGGCACATAGCCGTGTCTTGGTTTGAGGACGACTCAAACCATTAGGCCCAAACTCACAAATGAAGCACTGACTGACAGTGCTTGCAGGTCACCCACTCGCTTGACCAATGCTAAGAAAAGGAGGGTGGTCTTAAGCGACAGGGGCCGCAAGTCGGCTAACTGGATCAGCTCGGAAAAAAGCCCCTCGTAGGGCCCTGAGAAATAGATAAGTCCCAAGTCGGCACAGTATGAGGACGAGGTGGATTACATCTCTGAGCTCCCCTCAGAAACTTATTTGCAAGGTCGTTTCTGCTGATTGACTGGCCAGCCACGACCATTTAAGGGCATAGAGGCGTCCTGTAGATGGGACTCTAGCCTCCAAAATGGTATTAGTCACACTCGCGGGGAGCTGTAAAGACTCCTGTTGAGGGGCAAAACTTGAAGGCTCCACAGATCTGGCCGGGGATGCCAAATCATGCCCCTCGCTTGCGAGAGGAGGTCCTTCCTCAATGGTAGCGGCCAGGGGGCTGTCAATAGCAGCTGAATCAACTCGGGGAACCATGTCTGATTCCTCCAGAGTGGGGCCACTAGGAGGACCGAACATCTGACTTCCCTGACCCGTCTGATGATGGGAGGAAGCAGAGCAACCGAGGTGGAAGGCATACAGGCGAGCGCTGGGCAGGGCATCTCGCTGCTTTGAAAGTAAATTGTGCAGTGAAAGTTGTCTTATGAGGCAAAGAGGTCCACCTCTGCCCTCTCGAAGACAGACCAGATCGTTTGAATCATTTGGGGATATAGTCTCCATTCTCTTGGAGCTATATTGTACAAATGTTTCCTCTTCAAAGAGAATGCATGATGACTGTGGATTTTTTATTTATTCGTTTTTTTTTCTTGGTCTGTCCCTCATTTGTAAGGGGTTTGAATGTTGGGGATAGGGATGTTGTGTAAAAATATAAAAACCATAACTAAAAAGTTTCAAAAAAAGAAAAGAAAAAAAGTTGTAACTGTGACTACACTGTGTCCAGTTAAAAGAGTGCCTTTAAATTTTACCTATTCATTATTCCTCTGAACAAGTCAGAAGTGGATGTGTTATAATGTACATTTGTAAAAGGAAACATTTGTACATCAAATCCCGAGAGCAGGTTACATTAATAATATTACATTAGTTGACCCATCTTAAATTACTTATCTGAATATCTTGTAATAATCTTCCATCTTTGCAGAAAAATATCCATCTTTATTTGTAGACATGCCGTCATTATTTCCACTATATAAACCTTTTTCAGTCTCTGAGTCCATTGAACCAAACTTGGAGAACCTTCTTCCTTCCAATGTACTATAATTTTTCTTTTTAAATATCAATAACAATATCCTTAGTACATATCCATTTTTCTCATTGTACATTTTTTTAGGCAATGCTCCAAATAAACACACCACTGGATCTAGAGGTATTTCTACCTCTAGTATCTTGGCTATTTCTTTTTTAACATTTTTCCAAAATTCTTGAATCTTTGGGCATGATCTCCTATTTTGCCACATTTTCTCCAACACGGTGCTACAGGTGGCTCTTTTACATATGTTAAATTAACATGAGTATTGAAATCTCATTTTCCCTTTCCAGTCTCATTTTTTCTATAATTGACTATTAATCCCTTTATGACATCCCTTAAATAATTATCCCCAGACATCATCTTCGATTATAGTATTTAGTTCCAGTTCCCATTTTCCTTTAATATCTCCTGTGTTTCGTATAATGTTAGTTATTAGCCTTTGTATAAATGAGAAACATGTCTTTTAAGATGGAAAGTGTTTTTCTGCAATATTAATAAAGTATTTTTCTATTTTGTTTGGTTCTTTCATAACTAGGACTTTTTCTTTATGACTTGCAATGTAATGTCATATCTGGAAATACCTATACCTTTTTCTTTAGAGAGAATACTAAATTGTTCTTGGAGTTGTGAAAATGACTACATTCTGGGTTGATGACGCAGGACGCACAGCCCAAGTAGCACGTCCAACTCAAAAAGACTGAGCCGGTTCAACCAACTGTCGAAGTTTGCCGAGGATTACCGAGGACTCAACAAGAACCGAATGAGCCGTGGCGAAGTTTGCCCGAGGATTACCGAAGATTCTGATGAGTGAGTTGACGATACTGTGCAAGCCTGAGGCGCGTACTGGAAATATGCTTATTATGACTGTTATTAATTTACATTTTATTAAAAGGGTTCCTGTTATGCTTTTTCACTTTTTGAATTTAAGTCAGTATGTAGTGTGTATGTTTGGGCATAAAAAGATCTACAAAGTTACAATCTCAAAGTCCACTCCAAAGGGAGCTATTTCATTTTTTTTTAAATCCCTTTCAAGAACTACAACGAACTGCTCGTTTGGACTACAGCTTGTTTTCCGGGGTTTGTGATGTCACAAAACGGTCCATTAGAATATCATTAAAATAAATCCCGCCTACGGAAATTCGAATGGTTGTGGGGAGGGGAGGGGCGAGGTCGTGGTTAGAACACTTGGTTGAGTGGATCAGACAAGACGACGACGAAGAAGTGCTGCTGTATCGTCAAGTTTTGAGGGGAGTCATGAGGGAGTACAGTGCTGGTTTCGCCAAAAAGCTTTTGCTAAAAGACGGAGCAGTTCCCCCTTTGTCGGGACAATCTGCTGTATCTGCATCACAGCCTGTAAGTGTGCTGCTTTATTTGTTGTTGTGTGTGTTATTTACATTTCAAAGTATAAGTTGTATGCTGTTTCTGCGATGTAATACATATTACCGTTGCACTTATCTGTACATAGTAAATGCAGTTGTTTTTAAGTGGTTGTTGACATCCTATCTAAAACGTGATTTAGCCAAAAAAACAACAATGTTACCACTCTAATATGTCTTGCAATATCCGTGCGTGCAAAGGTTCTGCGCGATCCTCTTGTTCAATATTCTCTGGGTCTGAATCCGGTACTAAAAAAAGTACCAGGTACTGTACCCAGTGGAAAACCCCCCTAAAGTGAACCGTGCCGAGCCGTACCGTGCTTTACCATGCAGTGGAAAAGCGCCAACAGAAGACTAATAGGGCGATAGCTATTACACTGCGTGGGATCTTTACCTTCTTTATGTAAAATTGAAATGATGGCTTCTGACCACGATTTTGGTGGGCCACCTGATTGCAGCGCATAGTTATGTACATTACATAATATTGGAGAACCGTCATTCATAAAAGCTTTATAATACTCTCCAGAAAACCCATCTGATCCTGGTGCCTTACTGTTTTTTAGATTAGTGATTGTTTCTTTAATTTAATCTTCTGTTATAGGATCTGTTAATTTACTCGCTTTTTAATTTTGTCAAATTAAAAAATTCAAATTTTTCTTTTTTAGATTCCTGGTTTTGACCTTTATATAACTGTTGATAATATTCTGCAAAAACATCTGATATTGCTTTGGGATGGGTCTCAATTTTTTTCGTTACAGGATGTCTAATCTTCGGAACTATACGGCTGGCTTGATCTTTCCTGAGTTGAAAAGCCATAAGTCTGCTAGCTTTATTTTCAATTTCATAATATTTGATTTTTTATTTATCTAAGGGCTCCTTCTGCTTTAAATGTGTTAGTAATTTGTCTAATTTTTTCCTAACTTCTTTTAACTCCCTAAGTGTATCTTCTTTTTTGTTTTTTTGTGCTCACTCTCTAACCTCTGTACTTCATTTTCTTATTCTTGTTGTTTTAAGTTTCTTTGTTTCTTTAATTGAGACCCTATAGATATGATCTTTCCCCTTATTG